TCCATCACTTGCGAAGTTCAGAGCGGATCTCAAGACCCATCTGTTTTCAAAATTCATTGAGGAGCGCTGTTGAACATCGCGGAAATAGCGCTTTATAAGCTAATTGATTGATTGATTGCAATTTCGTAAGCCAATAATCCAAGCATGTCAAATAGCCCGACTCTTGACTCGAACGATAAAAAATCATCTCCAAATCTCTTCCGGAAGTAAGCTCCTTGTTCGACCGTTAAAAGTGAGCGAAGGCCGTTATATTTATTTTAGTTATGTGGCCCGACCCGAATAAATCCTGTGCTGTCTATGTTGTTTTCTTACGTTTAACTTCAGTGTTTTGAACATCAAACTTTACCTTTTAATTGAGCTCATAGTTGAAAATAATGCCCTTGTGATCCGTGAAAAGTAACTTTAGTGTTTTATTAACTAATTGGGTTTATAAATTAAATTATATTTTTCCGCAATTTCCAAAAACATATGACAGACTTTTTTTTGGTTTTTTTGTTGCTGTTTTTTAAAAGTTAAAATACCAAAATGATATAATCATTATATGTAAAATTAAATCATTAACAATTTATAAATAATCTGATATTAATAAAATTTTAGAAATATTTCATGTGAATAGCTTTTTCCTTCACTATATCTTTAATTAATAATTTTTGAATAAATAATTAATTTTTTTAAATTTATTTATGATTTATTTATTTATCTTTATTACAAATTGCTAAAAATTACAGACTAGTCTGTTTCATTTCTTCCAAGAAAGTTTTTTGATAAACAGACAAAAGTCACAAAAGTTTACCAAAAAGAAAAAACATCTCTAAGAACGAAATGTTCCTAAAAAGGTTAATAAAATCAGAAGTTGTAGCAACATCAAGCTCACAGAAACAGGATAGTACTGCCACCAACAAATCAGTGAACCATGGACCCCCACACGGAATGCAGACTATGGGGGCCTCTCTGCAGAGCAAGTTTGGCAGAGGAATCAATTATAATAGTCAGTGTTTAGTTTAATTTTTTTATTCAAAAATAAATTTAAATATAGTTATATAAAAATATAAACAAATATATAATAGCATATTATTCTCATAATATTGTTAACAAACAAACCTGTTAATATTCAATTTATTTAATTATTATTCGCATATGGTCTAGTTGAGGTAATAATTTTTTGTTATAAATTATATCATGTAGACAAGTTAATTATATTTTTATTTTAAATTATGTAATTTTTACAATTTTTATTAAATATAAAGTAACTGGTACAACTTCTTTTTACTTAATATACTATTACTACTTGTTTTTTTTTTAAATATAAAATAGCTATATACTTATAAAATATATTACTTACTTGCATCATTTGTTAGAAGTTAAATGTAATTTTGCTGAAAGTTTTGAATTGTGAACATTTTATTTATTTAAAATAAGTTAAGACATTTGAATAGAAATGATTTGGATCAAACAGATTGTTCGACCACATATTAAACTGGCATTATCACTACAAATGAAATAATCTTTTAAATTTTTTTTTTTTCTTTTAAAAATTAAATCAGAATTTTAAAAATAATTTCACATTCTAAAATTTTTCAGTGAAAATAATAATACGGGGGGACAGAAATGTCGGAAAAACCTGCCTACACCTCAGACTCCAGGGGCAGAAGTTCAGGGAGGAATACCTCCCAACTGATGAAATTCAGGTTAATAATTTTATTTTTTTATTCATCCATCCATTTTCATTCATTTATTCATTTCATTCATTCACTTAGATAAAAAAAATAATTTCCCAAGGTTGCAAGCATCCAATGGAACTATAAAACCTCAGATGACATCATTAAAGTCGAGGTTTGGGATGTGGTTGATAAAGGAAGAAAGAAGAGGAAAATTGAAGGATTGAAACTGGAGCAACAAGCTGTTAGTGCTGGATTGATGTTTTGTATTTTTATGATGGGCATGTGGGTATTATTTTATAGGTTATCTATATTACTTTGTTTTTTATTAATGTTTAGTAATTATTGTTATCGGTCTATTGGATATATTACGACTTGTTGTTTTTTTTATTCATGTATCTATTGTTGGTTCTGTTCATTATACTTCTTGCCATGTAAATATTTTGCTGTGTGTGCTCACTCAATTTGACTGATGTTTTAACATTATTGTGACGTACGTTTCTGAGTGGGCATTGTTTTGTTTTTTTTATCAATTTTCAAATTATTATTACACTTTTTATTGTTGTTTTTTATCATAATTATTTTTTTGTTATTAATATTTGCACCAGTATGTTTGAAAAGGACATGTCATGTTTGTTTGGTTTAACAAAAATCAATATTTTTGTACAAGGTTCCAGACGAGACATGTCTAGATGCGGAGTTTGTAGACGTCTACAAAGGTACTCATGGCGTCATCATGGTACTTGATATCACCAAACAGTGGTCTGTATTTTAATGAATATTATTTTATTTCAGTTAATAACTGATTGAATATTTTATTTATTATTGTTTTTATTTACGATATTGTAGGACTTTTGATTATGTCGAAAAGGAGGTGCCAAAAATTCCATCTGGAACTCCCATCCTAATTCTGGCCAACCATCGAGACATGGGGCACCATAGAACTGTCAGCGAGGACCAAGTCAAGACTTTTGTAGAGTCTATGCAAGAGATGTGCGTTGTTTCTTTACTGTTGTTATTGTTTTTGTTGCTGCTGTTGTTGTTGTTTTTGTTGTTGTTCTTGTTAATGATATTAACGATTTATTATTTTTCTATGTTATTGTTGTTGTTGTGGTTGTTGTCTGTTGTAATTGAGTTGATGTTAGTTCATGTCAATAGCGTTGTTGTATTAGTTTTGTTGTTGTTGTTGATGTTATTATTATCATTGTTGTTTCTTTTATTCTTAATACAAAGGAGAGAAGGTTCCATCCAATATGCAGAATCGAGTATGAGAAATGGATTCGGCCTAAAGTACATACACAAATTTTTCAATCTGCCTTTTTTACATCTGCAAGTTAGTTACAGTTATTTTTGCAACAATCGACTGTTGTCGTCGTTGTATCAGTCAGTGTTAGTGTCGTTGTGTTAGTGTTGCTGTCGTTATGTCAGTGTTATTGCTTTGCCGATTGAGTTAATGATGTTATTGATGCGTGTATAACGGTTGATACGTAACACGAGTGACATGACTTGTGTAACACCTCGCAGCGCCTGACCTTGGTATCGCAACTGGAGAAGAACAAGGAGGACATTGATGTCACACTGGAAGAGTTGGAAATGCTCCAACAGACCGACGATCAAAATTATCAATTGTTGGTCGTTCTATGTTTTGTTGATTTTTCTTAATTATTTTTATTTTCGTTGTTTCCTATTGGGTTTTTTTTGCAATTTTTTTAATTTTTTTTTTCTGTCTCTTAAGATTTTCAGAAACGATAAATAACAAGAGGAGAGAGCTACAGGATAAACTTGCTCAGAAGGCCATAGAAGATGCAAAACAACAACAAAAACTGCAACAACAGCAGCAGCAGATGAATAACGAAAGATCAGGTAATAATTATAATAAAGTGGGAGGAGTTATGAATAATAGTAACATGACAAAATCATCTTCATTTTCTACAAATCCCGTTCAGGCGACATTAAGAGAAGGTATGATTGGTTCGTTTGTTTTATTTCTGTCAAATGGGTTTTTTTTTCTAAGATTTTATTCGACCAATAGCATGCTTTCTTTTTTGTTAGCCCCTCCTGCACACCCAATACCTGGCCTTAATCTACCCTCAACAACTGCATCGACAACGAAATCATCTTCCTCTAATTCGCAGCTTTTGTTGACGCCTTCCAAATCTGCCCCGGCAACACCTGCTCAAGGTTTTCTGTGTTGTCATCATTTTTTGTTTTGTTTTGTTGAGTTGTTGTTTTATGTTTGTGTTGTATTTATTTGGTTGTTTAGGATGTTGTTTAATGTTTATGTTGTTGCATTTTTGTTGGCGTGCGTTTTCACACTTTTTTGCTGTTGTTTGGTTTTATTAGTCTTTGTGATATAGTTCTGATTTGCCTATTAATTTTTTTCTGATTGCCATGAGTTGTTTACTCAGTTTATAAAATGATGAAATCAAACAGTAAATTGGTAATATTTTTTTTTAAATGATTTAAACTTTAGAAGAATCATCCGGTGGCTTCCTTGGAAAGTTCCTATCGTCAAAAAGGAACTGCAGTAGAAACATTGCAGCAGCAGCGGCAGGTGGATGTGACGGCAGAGGTAGCATAGGAGTCACGATCGGGGATGGTCTCCATTCCAAAACTGCTGCTAACACTGGTTCATAATTCTTTCACCTATCACAGTTTCAAATTTTTTTCGAGTTGTAAATGTGTACAATTTCTTTTTTTTTCCTTTTCCTTTTTTTTTCCTTTTTTTCCTTGCGGTTTACTCCCTCCAAAACATCTGACATACGATGATGCAACTTCCAAATATAACGCTCGAGTATGTTGTTGTGTATGGTACTTATATGTAAACTACTTTTATATTTTCAGTCTCCAAGTCCAGTAAGTCACCAGCACTTCAAAATGTAGACGAGTTCAGGCCAGATGGCGATGACATCAACAATGGTTTCCTTGACGATGACGAGGACAACAGCGATAGAAATAGAAAATCTAACAGAGATAAACAGCTGACAGATAGGTTAGGATAGGGTTGGTAATTTCTTTCCAACGCGTTTCGTTTGTTTCATAAAATTTTGTAATTTAAACAAGTTCCATCGACATGCATTGCTAAATATTAAAATGATGAATATATACAGCGACGACAACGACGACGCGTCAACCACAAATCCTCTTGTGGCCGGCTTTCAGGATGATTTCAACTCGTCTGAAGATGAAAAGTCCGACGAAACTCACAAGAAGTGCACCTCTGCTACAGTTTCAAAAAATAAAACATTCCAGCATAATTCAATTGAACTGTCTGATGATGATGACGATGATGCTGATGAGTCGTTTAAGTTAAACGAAAATCGAACTTTTAAAAGTAAAGCTAATTCAAAATCGGTAAACAATTCCAAAGATGACGCGTGGGGTAAGAAAAATTCAAAGACTAAATCTATAGACGTGACGACGACGCAACAAAATTCGTCATCACCAAAAAGCCCTCCGCAAAAATCGCCTACAAAATCATCAACAACAAAACCAACAATGACATCAACGACAACAACAACATCATCAACTGCAGCAACTAACAAGTTGACGAAACCAACAAAACTTGACGGCAACACCAAAAAAGATGTTCACTCCAATTTATACGGTGATGATGACGACGACGACGATGATGATGGTTTGCGAGATAATAAAAATACCTTAGACATATCAGATGATGCTGAAGATGACAGTTGTGATGTTAATAGTAAAAATGTGAGTAAATGAGTTGCTTACTTGCTTTCATTCATTTAAAATAACAATATAAATTATTTTTTCAAATTTATTGAAATACAGACTGATAGCAATGTCGTTACAAATGCAAAGTCACTGCTTCCAATCTCATTCAACGCTTCTGACATTGATGCTCTTGAAGAAATGTTTATGAAAAAAAGTTAGATTTTTATCATTTTTTTATTTTTTGTCAGGTTTATAATGGTCCTTCTTCAACTGCAGATTCAAGAATAACTTATTTAGGATAAGCTTTATCAAATTTTACTGGTTTTTTTATGGTTTTATTTGTCATTTTTTTCCGTGTTTCTTTAGAAATTTATAATAATTAAATTCAATGACTTTTTTCATCCAAAAATTTCTATCAAAAAAGCCAAATTAACAGGTGAAGCTTCACCGACCATTGCTTCAAATTCTGTAGTTGCCGCTGCTGCTGCCGATGTGGCCAGCACAAGTACTGATGACGATGTCGGCCGTAAAAAGAAGAAGAAAAAAAAGAGGAGAGATTATAACTCTGATGATGAGGATGACGATGGAAATAAAGTGAGTAAGGTTTTAAGTTGTGTCAGTTTGAATATTTTTTTCATACGTTAAGTTTTTCTTTTGTTATCAATTCAATTTTGCAATATATAACATCAGTGATTTTACTACTGGCATCAAATAGTAGGCATCTTATTGTTTTGCCAAATTAAAATACAAAAATTTTTAGGAGTTTTTTACATGAGAGCTAAAAATTTAAGCTCGAATATTTCGCTCGACTAATAAGATAAATTATAAATTTAATAACCAATAATAAACTCATAATAATAAGAATAATCACTATAAAAAAATTATGATATCATTAATAATGATAATAATAATAATCATAATAACAAATAATTTGGACAGGTAAATTCGGATACAGAGAACTCCAAGACTAGCCCTAAAAAGTCATCCAAGTCCAAAGAATACAAAACGAAACATAGGAACAAAGATAAAACAGCGGCAAACGACAAAAAAGTTAAAAAGAAAAAGAGTAAAAGTAAACAGGCGGTAGAGAATGGCGACGAGGGCGGTCTTGAAAATTCCCTAAAATCATCTGCTTACGACTGCTTGTGATATTATTTGTTACCTTATTTTCAAATAATTTTATTCATATTATTAAATAATTTTAAAATGATTATATCATATACTTATTTATAACGTGAAAAGTGTTCTTTCATTCTCATCGACAACATCATCATTTTTTGGACTTTAGAACCAATTACCTTACCTGCTCAGTTGTTAATACATTTTTTAATTAAAATTCACCATTGCCACCATCGTTGGGATCTACATATTTCACTCATTATTTATTCGTAGCAATTAAGCCATCATCATTTCAGTTAAGAACATCGTCATATTCATATTAAATCAACATCATGCGTATATGGTGCAATTGTACATATATATTTTAATTGCAGATATCTGTATGGTGTACATCGTTCGTGGCTTTTTGTTGTTATATCTGTGTGTTGTGTGTGTGTGTGTGTGTAAATTTTGTCTTTCATTTTAACAACGTTGGTGTTATATTATTCAGTATCTCCTTTTTACTAGAAAATATTCACTATTTTCGTTCATTTATAATATTGTATCTAGTTTATTCAATGAGATGTTCTATGTGACAAATTAGAATTCCACTTTGTTTCTGCCCATACGAGGAGTGGAACCAGGTTTCTCTGGCTCAGCATAATCTAAGTAAATGCGTGCGTGCGTCTGCGCTGTTCATTATGCGCCGCAAGAGTTGTTTCCATGCGCGTTTCTTTCAAATGTGTTCATGAAATATCTAATTTATTGATCGATTTGTTACTTATTCATTTTCGATTGTGAATATATATATTTTTTAATTAAACATCGTAAACGTTCGGTAAGGTTTCTATTCAAAGGAATCAAATTAATAACTAGTTGAGAGGACGATCGTTGTATTTATAAAAGTTAACGTCATTGTTACATTGGCTACTCACTAACATAACAACACTGCTTACAACGTAACGTTACTAACCTCATAATTAACTACTAACCTTTGATTCAACGCTACCGCTAATGTCAATTTGTGAGAATGTAATAAATAACCATTTACGATGAAACCACACGGGAAGTTAGTTTTTTCTAGCTTTCATGAATTTCATGTAGCGGCTGAATTGAATATGTACTGCGACCACTTTACCGAAATGAACGACACCATTATAAGAGTCGACATTTTTATTATTAAAAAATTTAAACTTAATTAATTGATAGATTAATTAATTAATTAAATAAATAAATTAGTTAAATTAATTTTTAACGACATATCTGAATAGGGTAATAACGGCAGCTGGAGTTACTCCCGGGATCTTTGATGCGTCTGCTATCTTTCAAATAAATATATCAACAATAATTATTGATATAATTATTATTATAATTATTATTGTAACTATTATTATTGTTACTATAAATTACTATAATTATCATCCCTTTTCTAGGTGGTCTATTCAAAAACATTTGAGTGCGTATGTTGAATCTATCATGTAAAACTTTATAAATAAAAAAAAAATTGAAAGCAGATAAAACTAATAAATTAACTAAAATAAACTCATCGATATTTTATAATAGAAATAATACGGCAAAAATGTTTAAGCAGTTCTCAAGACAAGCCAGTGAGCCAGCCTACTTACTGTCTCAGGTCTAACAAATGATAATTTCTCTTTCGCTTCTTGCGATATGTTCAACCTAGAGGCGTTTTTTCAAGATTAATATTTATTTTTTATTGCTATCACATCGTCATTATAAAATTAAAATAATTATAATTATTTTTTTATCAATAATCATAATAAAATTCTCATTAAGATAAGTGAAACGACTGTTTGATAATAGTCTAATGTGTACTTGTGATAATCAAGGCCTATGGGCAGTTTCATCCCTTCATCTTTCTTCAATCTTTCAATCTCAATCAATTGATCTTTCGTAGCGTTATCGTAGAGAGCTGATAGGAATCGTCGCATATGTTGTGTTAATAGTCATCAATTGAAAGAACGATGATGCTATATAGTCGATAATTATAACAGTTTCCATGTGACTAATTGTAATTATGAAACTACATCAATTCATCATCAATTCATCATCACAACAACAACACACGTTTAGACGGCATTTTCCCGAGATCGGGGGTTGCCGTTTGGCTACCTATGATGAAACCGAAATACCCCTCGACGCCATCCACATCTGTCACTCGCCTCAGTATCACGCAACCCCGCTTTCACCCTGTCCTTCTCCACCTGCTCTCTCCATCCCAATCGCGGACGACCCCTTCCTACCACTCCTTCAACCTCGAACTCCAACGCTCGCCTAATCCCGACCCTTTCATCCCTTCTCAACACATGTCCATACCACCGCAATCTCGATCTCCTTATCAATGTCACAATGTCCTCATTCAGTCCCATCATTGACATCAGCTCTGTACTACTCCTCCTATCCTTCACTTTAACCCCACACATCATCCTCACCATAGCTATTTCAGCCCTCTGCAGTACACTTTCCTCCTCTCTCCTCAACACCCAAGTTTCACCACCATATACCATCGCTGCT